TATTGTTTTTCTTCAAAATTTTTGGCCTTTTTTTGTTTATAGCGTGAAAAATAAAAAGCGCACAGGTGATCAAATTACACTGAAAGAAAGCTCTATTTGTGTGAAAAAAAGGACGTAAATTTCGTTTGGGTGCAGCATTGCATGACCGCGCAATTATCAGTTGAATTAGTGCAGCGCCAAGTAGCAAAAAGAGGCCTGGTCATTAAGGGGGGTAAATCCTCAGGAGGTCAAGTGGTTAACTGTACAGTGAGTTATGCATACACAGCTCAGTGTACATTGTCAATGAGATGCCTGTGTGCCGGGAAGAATGAACTCCTTGCAGGAATTTTGTTATCCCAAATCAGCCAATCAAAACAGGGGAGGACTAGGCATGCGGAAGAAATGTTGGTGCTAGTGAAGGACCTACAGATTTCAATCCGCTGGTGGGGAGTATTTGCAGCTTTAGTTCCACTTTAAACAATTATCTACCAAGGAAATTTTAAAAATTCTTACACACATTAAAGTCTGCATTTTTTTTTTGCTGTAAATGACCTTAAAGCCCTAAACAAATACCGTATTTGCCGGCATATAAGACGACTTTTTACCCCTTGAAAATCTTCTCAAAAGTCGGGGGTCGTCTTATACGCCGGTATACGGCATACTGACACTTTTTAGGGGGGCGGCACGTTGCCGCCGCCGCCCCCCCCCTTCCCCCAATGGAAGGGACACTAAGTACAGGGGTGGGCAGCGGCTGTTTCTTACCTGGTTCCGGTCCCGCGACGATCCGGTCCAGGAAGCGCGGCTGCGCCTTCAGTTCGGCCACTGGATGTTCGTGCGGCTGCTCGGCTCCGCCTCCTCACCAGTGATTGGCCACCAGAACTGTAGCTCAGGAAAGGCACACAGGCGGCCAATCACCTGCGAGGGGGGTGGAGCCGAGCGGCCCCGCGAAAATCGAGTGCAGGACCAGCAGGTAAGTGGTCAGTGTAGAGGTGCTGCTGCAACCACATATGCTGGCTGCAGCAGCACCATACGAGAACAGGGTCAGCAAGTGTCAGTGGGAGGAATAGTGCCCCATCATTGGTGTCACTGATACCAATGTGGAGCACTATTCCTCCCTGATACCAATGATGGGGCACTATTCCTCCCACTGATACCAATGATGGGGCACTATTCCTCCCACTGACACCAACGATGGGGCACTATTCCTTCCCACAATGATGGAGCACTATTCCACCAACAATGATGGGGCACTATTCCTCCCACTCCAACCCCCACTGACACCAACGATGGGGCACTATTCCTCCCCCCCACTGCACTATTCCTCCCCCCACTGACACCAACGATGGGGCACTATTCCTCCCCCCCACTGACACCAACGATGGGGCACTATTCCTCCCCCCACTGACATCAACGATGGGGCACTATTCCCCCCCCCCCCCACTGACACCAACGATGGGGCACTATTCCCCCCCCCCCACTGACACCAATGATGGGGCACTATTCCACCCCCCACTGACACCAATGATGGGACACCATTCCTCCCACTGACACCAATGTGACACCAATGTTGGGACACCATTCTTCCCACTGACACCAATGATGGGGCACTATTCCCCCCACTGATACCAATGATGGGGCACTATTCCCCCCACTGATACTAATGATGGGGCACTATTCCCCCACTGATACTAATGATGGGGTACTATTCCCCCCACTGATACTAATGATGGGGCACTATTCCTCCCACTGACACCAATGATGGGGCACTATTCCTCCCACTGATACAATGATGGGGCACTATTCCTGCCAATAATGCCAATGATGGGGCACTATTCCTGCCACTGATACCAATGATGGGGACACTATTCCCCCACTGATACTAATGATGGGGCACTATTCCTGCCACTGATACCAATGATGGGGCACTATTTCCCACTGATACACTGATACCAATGCCAATGATGGGGCACTATTCCTGCCACTGATACCAATGATGGGGCACTATTCCTGCCACTGATACCAATGATGGGGCACTATTCCTGCCACTGATACCAATGATGGGGCACTATTCCTGCCACTGATACCAATGATGGGGCACTATTCCTCCCACTGGTGTGCATTGGAAGAGGGGTAGTCTTATACGGCGTGTATAGCTCAAACACTAAATTTTAGCAGGAAAAGTAGGGGGGTCGTCTTATACGCCCAGTCGTCTTATACGCCGGCAAATACGGTATATATTTTCTGAAACCAGAATCCCTGTAGAATGAAATGATGGTAGTTGCATTTTTGTTTGTTTATCAAATCGATATTTGCAGGAAAAAAATAAACCAAAATGAATTTTAGTGCAAACAAACATAATATAATATACAATTATAATACCCAATGTTTTGGTAAAGTATAAAAGAAGAGTAAAAAGATACCAAACATCTCCAACCTTAAAATTGTGTGCACCTGTGAAATTGCAAAAACCTCTGGTACCCAAAATTCCTTATAGGCTCCATATTCTCCTTGTTTTCAGTCTGATGTTTACTGTGGCACAATTTTTGTTTATAAACATGAGCATGCTAAGTGTCTGTTTGCCATGGGGTGTATATAAGGGTCCTTTTAAATTTTTCTTTTTACATTTTTACACTTTATTTTTTTTTCCATTCCACTTTATTACTATCACAAGTGGGCTAACAAGCCCCTATGTGATAGCATGAGCAGATGACAAGTCTTTTTGGAGAAATTAGGGATCTTTTAGGCACCCAATGTCACACCTACCCTCCACTGTAGATGACCAAGCACAGATTGAAGTCCTGGAAAAGTAATCAGGTGACTATTAGGCTGTTTTACTTAAAAGCTGAGGTTTAGCTGTTAAAATCAATACTAAGCTCACGGTTACAACAGCAGCTTAACACCTTGATTACTGGGACGCTTATAAACGTACCTTGCTAAACAAGGAGTCAAAATCAACCTAAGTCTATCTAAGACCAATATGTTAGGGGAAGTGGAAAAATAACAGATCTACTGGCAGGATTACAGGTATAAAACTTTGGTACAAGGGGGGCTCAGAAAAACTGCTGTGCCCAATGCTCCTGCATCATATACTGTATATAATGTTTTTCCAGTTTAAAGGATAAGTTCCCCTTTTGGACAAAAATAATAAACGCACATTTTTATGCAGGTAAAAAAAATGTGCATTTATTATTTTTGTCCAAAGGAGCCAATTAGTAGTAAGAGCTGATATACTGACAGGAAGCTTCAATGAACTACGCCGTGGTAGTTCATTGAAAACTACAAGCTCACAGCTGTTAAGGCTGTTGGGACTTGCAGTTCATTCATTCACGGAAGTCTGTAAATGAATGACACGACCAAGTGGGTGTAGCTCCACACGGCCACACTGTTTTCAAATCTGCCAGATAGTATGGGGAGACTTCTCATATTATCTGTCAGAGGGGGGGGGGGGGGGGGGGGGAACGGCTACATGTTCCACCCTAAAAACAGGTGGAACATGTTCCCAAAGGTGAACTTATCCTTTAACCTCCCTGGCGGTATGATTATTTCAGATTTTTGGTGCTGAAAGCGGTACCATTTTTTTGCATGGAAATATGTATTTTTTTTAATTGTAGGCCTGTAATTTTTAGGAAAAACTCACTGAAATCTGTCCGAACAAGAGTCTAGTAAACATCCCGGGTAGGATAAAATTTGAAACACAAAATCATAAATTATAATTTAATAAATAATCATAAAAATAATATAAAAATAATAAAAAATTGAATTCAATAATATAATCAAACCAAAAACACTGAAATTTGAAATATAGCGCCAAAGTTTGCACATCGCTGAGCAAAGTCGCAGAATCGTTTTCAGTGTCTGATGACGAATTTCCCCCAGGAATCATTATCACTCAATTCTGCAAGTGGTTCTGATTTACTATCGCTGTTCTCTAGCTGATCTAAAACCGCTTTTGACCTAAAGGGACACTTTTTGGACGCCATGGACATTTCTCAGTTTCCAGGCAGAAAGAACAGACAAAATGCAGGCAGGGCGCCGGACAAAGCACTAGGGACAAAATGTATGTGAAATTGGTTGAGACAGCAATGTTTTACTATGTAAAATGTAAAAAAAAAAAAAAAGGAAATTTTTTAAAATTTTTTAATTTCCCGCCGCCGGCGGCGCCCGTACGTCCCGACGTCACAGGGACAGGACACAGAAGCCGGATGCCGGCATCGGCCGGAGGAGATGGCCGGGGACGCTGCAGGGGACACATCGCGGGAGCGCAGGGTAAGGTAGGTGAAGAACAAATGCTGCAGCAGTGCCGCATTGTATTCCCGAGTGTAACTCGGGGTTACCGCTCTTGGTACTGAAATGTTACCCCGAGCTACACTCGGGAATACCACTAAGGGAGGTTAAAGTGTTACTAAACCCACAACAGTAAAATCAGTCTGTATATGCAGTAAAACATGCTTGTTATACTCACTGTGGAACCTGTATTGTGTAAAAAGGCTGTTTGATCCCTTCTTCTCTGCCCCTTCTCTTGTTGAAATGCCCACCTGATACAGACTGAATCCGTAGTCACATGTACATGCTCAGTTTGGTATGTATTGCTAGAGAGGTTTTTTTTTTCTTTGGGAGGGTGCATGTGATCAGACCAGGACCAAGCAGCCCTGTCCAGACAGAGGTCAGAAGTTTCACATCCTCCTAGAGCAGAAAGAAAAACTCCTCCTACAAGCTTTAACCAATCTTCTGCTAAAGTCACAAGGCTGCTCTAACTTCTGATGAGAAAAGGTATTTTGTAGTTTAAAATCAGAGTCGCACCGATTTTTGAAATTCATTCCTGCACTATTTTTTGCAATTTCAGGTGCGACTTGCATAGGCAACTGTGCATGAAGTCGCACACATGTCTGCCAAGTTGCACCTGAAGTTGCACGGACATGTGACTTCAAGTAAAGTTGCACAATTTCAAAGTCAGATCCAGTGTAAACCAGGACTTAAAGTACTTTTTTCTAAATCCAATTTTCAACCTTTTTTTCTTCCAGTGCTCATACTTGGAAGCTAGAAATTGCCAAATAGAAAGCAAATATTTAATTGTGTTGAGAAAGTTGCAGGAAGCTCTGCCATATCTGGATTCTGAGTACTGTGAAGTCATAAAAAATCTGATAGAAGATGCCTTGCAATCTGACATGAAAAAGGTCCATAACCAACTGGATGTACATTTCAGTCCTCTCAGGTGGGTAACTATTCAGCATGTGACATTACTAAGTCTCTTTTGCTCACCAAATGCAATGGCTTTCTATATAAAGCAAAAATAATGTTTCACATTGATTTAGAAGAGGCATAATTGAATTAGTAGTGTTATGAAAAAAAAATCCAGTTTTTGTGCAACTACAGGATCTATATACATCACCCTCAATCAGCTGCAGCATTCTTTGCTCATCAATTCTCTTTAGCATAAAATTTTAGCATATAATTTTTGGGATATATTTATTTTTACAAAAATATACCATTTTGTTAAACTGGATTGTAACTCAAAAAAGTGAAGATTTGCTTTGTAATAGTAAAAATGTAGAAATGTTAAAGCGGTATTAAATCCTAAAACAAACATTTTATACTGTATATTGGAGCGTAGAAGTCCTTAAATGTGGTGGTTGCATTCGTTTTTTTTTCCCTTTATTTTCACCTGGTGATATGGTCAGTAACACACTTGCTCTCTTAGGGTATCTCCACTCTGAATGGAGAAGCAACAGAGACACCTGTAGTCAGCAGCATTGCCAATCTAGGGAGAGGGTAGTTTAGATGGACTTGCAGATTTTGATGGACTTAAAAAGTAAGGCTGAACTCCAGCAAATATGCTTTAAAGTGTTACTAAACCCACAACAGTAAAATCAGTCTGTATATGCAGTAAAGCAGTCTTGAGATACTCACTGTGGAACCTAAGGGGTTAATCTTCTGCATTGTGTAAAAGGGTTGTTTGATCCTTTCTCCTCTGCCCCTCCTCTTGTTGAAATGACCACCTGATACAGACTGAATCCGTATTCACATGCACATGCTCAGTTTGGTGTGTATTGCTAGAGAGGTTTTTTTTTTTTTATTCTTGGGAGAGTGCATGTGGTCAGCACAGGGCCAATCAGCACTGTCCAGACAGAGGGTCAGGGGTTTCACATCCTCCTAGAGCAGAAAGAAAACTCCTCCTACAAGCTTTAACCAGTGCTCTTCTGGACACTGATAGAAGTCACAAGACTGCTCTAACTGCTGATGAGAAAAGGTATTTAGCAGTTTATATTTACTAAAATAATTGCATTTCCATGTTCTGTGTACAGTGGGAGATCAGATATAGTGAATGCAGGGTCCTGGGTTTAGTAACACTTTAAGTATTTACAGCAACAGTTTTTGCCTTTTGGATAAAGGGTTTCCATAAATGAACACTTGCTGAGCATTGTAAGCACCTCTGTCAGTGTTAAATGGTTTCTCTAAACTCTCTAACTGCCACTTCTGCTGGAAAGCTTGGTTTGTTAAATAAAGTTGAAAATAACAGACTTACTAGCCAGTTGACCAGGTGAAAATAAAGGAGGGGGAAGAAAATGAATGCAGTTACCAAAACTGGTATATATCATTGTATCGCTACCCCTGTAGGAGCCCCCTGTATCTTGCCCAGGCTTTACCCTAGATCAGTGGTTCTCAACCTTTCTAATGCCGCGACCCCTTAATACAGTTCCTCATGTTGTGGTGACCCCCAACCATAAAATTATTTTCGTTGCTACTTCATAACTGTAATTTTGCAGTGGGAGGACTAGTGCCCCATCACTGATGTCAGTGGGATGAATAGTGTCCCATCGTTGGTATCAGTGGGAGGAATAGTGCCCCATCATTGGTGTCAGTGGGAGGAATAGTGTCCCATCATTGGTGTCAGTGGGAGGAATAGTGCCCCATCGTGGGTGTCAGTGGGAGGAATAGTGCCCCATCGTGGGTGTCAGTGGGAGGAATAGTGCCCCATCGTGGGTGTCATTGGGAGGAATAGTGCCTTATCGTTGGTGTCGGTGGGGGGGAGGAATAGTGCCCCATCGTTGGTGTCAGTGGGAGGAATAGTGTCCCATCATTGGTATCAGTGGGGGGAATAGTGCCCCATCATTGGTATCAGTGGGGGGAATAGTGCCCCATCATGGTATCAGTGGGAGGAATAATGCCCCATCATTGGTATCAGTGGGAGGAATAGTGCCCCATCATTGGTATCAGTGGGAGGTATAGTGCCCCATCATTGGTATCAGTGGGAGGAATAGTGCCCCATCATTGGTATCAGTGGGAGGAATAGTGCCCCATCATTGGTATCAGTGGGAGGAATAGTGCCCCATGATTGGTGTCAGTGGGAGGAATAGTGCCCCATCATTGGCGTCAGTGGGAGGAATAGTGCCCCATCATTGGCGTCAGTGGGAGGAATAGTGCCCCATCATTGGCGTCAGTGGGAGGAATAGTGCCCCATCATTGGCGTCAGTGGGAGGAATAGTGTACAATCATTGGCGTCAGTGGGAGGAATAGTGCCCCATCATTGGCGTCAGTGGAAGGAATAGTGCCCCATCGTGGGTGTCAGTGGGAGGAATAGTGCCCCATCGTGGGTGTCATTGGGAGGAATAGTGCCTTATCGTTGGTGTCAGTGGGGGGGGAGGAATAGTGCCCCATCGTTGGTGTCAGTGAGGGGAGGAATAGTGCCCCATCGTTGGTGTCAGTGGGGGGAGGAATAGTGCCTCATCGTTGGTGTCAGTGGGAGGAATAGTGTACAATCATTGGCATCAGTGGGAGGAATAGTGCCTCATCGTTGGTGTCAGTGGGAGGAATAGTGTACAATCATTGGCATCAGTGGGAGGAATAGTGCCCAATCATTGGCGTCAGTGGGGAGGAATAGTGCCCAATGATTGGCGTCAGTGGGAGGAATAGTGCCCCATCATTGGCGTCAGTGGGGGGAGGAATAGTGCCCCATCATTGGCGTCAGTGGGAGGAATAGTGTACAATCATTGGCGTCAGTGGGAGGAATAGTGCCCCATCATTGGCGTCAGTGGGAGGAATAGTGCCCCATCGTGGGTGCCAGTGGGAGGAATAGTGCCCCATCGTGGGTGCCAGTGGGAGGAATAGTGCCCCATCGTGGGTGCCAGTGGGAGGAATAGTGCCCCATCGTGGGTGCCAGTGGGAGGAATAGTGCCCCATCGTGGGTGCCAGTGGGAGGAATAGTGCCCCATCGTGTGGGTGCCAGTGGGAGGAATAGTGCCCCATCGTGGGTGTCATTGGGAGGAATAGTGCCTCATCTTCGGTGTCAGTGGGAGGAATAGTGCCCCATCGTTGGTGTCAGTGGGGGAGGAATAGTGCCCCATCGTTGGTGTCAGTGGGGGGAGGAATAGTGCCCCATCGTTGGTGTCAGTGGGGGGAGGAATAGTGCCCCATCGTTGGTGTCAGTGGGGGGAGGAATAGTGTCTCATCGTTGGTGTCAGTGGGGGGAGGAATAGTGCCCCATCGTTGGTATTAGTGACACAAATGATGGGGCACTATCCCTTCCACTGACACCAATGATACTTACCTTGCTGACTCCTGCTCCAGCCTGGGCTCGCTCTCTCCCTCTCCCATCTACAGCCTGCATACCTGGCTGCAGCAGCAAAATTTGCACTTACCTGTCAGCTGTCTTCCTTCTCTGGCCTCTCTCTTCACTGGCTCCTGCAGCTCCCTCGATCTTCTTTGATCTACGTGTGCTGCCGCTCGGCTCCTCCTCTCCAAGCTCCACCTCCTCGCTGGTGATTGGCCGCCTGTGTGCCTCTCCTGAGCTACAGTTCCGGTGGCCAATCAGCGGCGAGGAGGCGGTGACAGGGGCAGCATATCATCCCGCCCACACATCGCCGGAGACAGGAGCGGTGTCTCGGTTCCTAAGACCATCGGAAATATGTGTTTTCCGATGGTCTTAGGCGACCCCTGTGAAATGGTCGTTCGACCCCCCCAAAGGGGTCGCGACCCCCAGGTTGAGAACCGCTGCCCTAGATCTTCTCCTGCAGCCTAGCACTTAGCATTTCCTAAAGCCAGGTATACACAACTTCCACTCATTACTCCCATGATCAGTCTAAGGGGTTGTAGTTTTTTTTATTGTTTTTTTTGTTTGTTTTAGAACTGGGATAGGGAATGTATATAGTGGGATACTCTGAATTGAACTATGCACACTTGAGGACAGCTTTCTCTAAGTAGATCTGTGTAGCAAACTGTATAAAGCCTGGAGCAATGTCCCTCTGTAGAAATGCAGAACTTAATGGACAGTTACTCTTCTGGACACCGGCTGGTGTCCCTTCTAGCTTACACCAGCAGCTGACTATATAGGTCCCGGGGGGGGGGTTGTTAAACAGCACAAGTCCCAGCTTCCATGTAGAACAGTCTGTACTCACAAGGCCCTTGTTGCAGGTCCCAGACACACAGCACTGTGAGCCACATAGGATCTCTCACTTAACAATTGTAGCTTCCTGTTAGGTAAAACAGCAGCTTTTCTGCTTATTAGTCTCCTTATAAGCAGGAGTCCACACTATACTAAACTAGACTACATCCTAGCAACCTACCCAGGAGGGTGCTGAATTTTTGTGTTTAAAGATGAAGTTGACCTTTTCCAGAAAACCAATGGCTTCTAGTTTCCTAGCAACAAGGCAGGATGAGGGGGATTGCTAACTGGGAGCGTCCAGGATGGTGCAAAAAGCCTAACGTTATGAGAATAAAATTAGCATTTTTACAAAGCTTCACAGTTCTTTTTAATTTCTGCTAGGGCCCCCTTGACTGCAAAAGCTATTGTCTGAAAAAAGTGCACTTAGCCTTTAACCACTTGCCCTCCTGAGGATTTCTCCCCCTTCATGACCAGGCCATTTTTTGCGTTACGGCGCTGCATTACTTTAACTGACAATTGTGCGGTCATGCAACACTGCACCCAAATGAAATTTTCAGGGGGGCGGCACCGATTTTAGTGTTGCCTAGGGCAGCACATGAACTAAATACACCACTGCTGGTGACTAAACCTTTGTCCCCTGCCTGTCTATGTTTGGGCACAGTGTTCAGAGTTCACTTCCTCTTTAGAATACATGGCTCTTTTTATAGTTACAGTATATTACCTTGAAGTATATTTAAACTCCAACAGTGAACTCTTTTGTTTGCTTTCATTTGGTCTGTTGAATATATTATTGAAAGAGTTTATTATATATTTTAATAATAATTATTAAAGTGCAAAAAATACCCATTGATCCTGTCAGAAATTGAGTGTTGTCCTGGTCACTTGGTTTGTTTAGCAAGATACTAGTATTTGCATTTGTGGCATTTTCTGTACTGTAAAGGTCTTCAAAGTGATAAAACATGAAGACAATTTGCATGTAATGCAGGAATGTACTGCATATGTGTTTTTTTTTTTATTTTTTAATTTGCCCTGACATACACTCTCATTGGCTATCCATCAGTTTGTATTATAGATTGTAAGCTCCGAGGAGCAGGGCCCTCCTATCCCTCTTGTATTGAACTGTATTGTCTCCCATTATTATTATTATTATACAGTGTTTATATAGCGCCAAAATGTTTGCTCAGCACTGTACAATATAGTGGGGGACAGTACATGAGACAATACAGTGACAAGATACGAGAGGGCCCTGCTCTTTCGAGCTTACAATCTAGGAATATTGTATTATATTGTAAAGCGCTGAGCAAACTGTTGGCGCTATATAAATCCTGTATAATAATAATAAATAATACTATATGAATATAATCTTCTGCCTTTTATTTTGGAATTAATTTGGTTTATATTTTTAGTGAATATGATGACTATGGCTTTGTTATAATACCAGAATATGAGGTTGAACACTTGAAACTTTTAGCCAAAATTCAAGCATTAGAAATTCGATCCAACAAGCTCCTCACACATGAAGTTGTGGACAAACCTTTAAGAATGAAATGGAATAGTATCGAGGAACTAAACCACTCTATGGAGCTGAAGAACTTAGCGAGGAGTGGAATTCCTCCAGAACACCGTAAACGTGTATGGAAATGGCTCACTGCTCAACGGATTCACATCAGATCACACCATTACGCAGATCTTCAGATAAAATGTGAAAGTTCTCAGCACCCAGCCTCTCAGCAGATTGAACTTGATATACATCGAACTTTGACCAATAACAAGCACTTCAGTTGCCCTACATCAGATTTTATTCAAAAGCTGAGGAGGGTGCTTCTTGCATACTCATGGCAAAACCCAACCATTGGGTACTGTCAGGGACTGAACAGGTAAAAATAGACAAAAAAAAAAAGAACTATTGTTTTTGAAATGTAATTACATTTTTGCCTGAAAGCATGCCTTGCAATCCCTTTTAAGTACATGGAAGCAATGAACAGTACAGCGTAGTTAAAATGTATTCGGCAGTATACTTTAAGGGTTCATTCGCACCACCTGTGGTGGGACTGCGTTGGGAAGCTATTTCAGTGAAGTCCCACTGTCACGGGTTCACCCGCACGTCACGCCCACAGTGACTAGCTAACCAAGGAGCGCACGTGTGTCCTTGACTTGGGGTAAGAGGGAATAAAGGGGACTTAACTTTGAATATATAAAACCGTATATAGGACCAGTTGATGTACTTTCACAGTCCGCACTACCTCTAGGCCACCACCGGAGGGAGACCCCACTCCAATCCAGATGGCTGACCACACACTGGCAGATACAAATCTTATATACAATCTGGTGCACTGATTAAAAGTTGAGGAGCAGCTTAGCAATCACACAACCTTCTAGGATCCCTCCAGCTATCCTACAGCTAGAACCCCGGTGTTTTTCACTCTTCCACTGCCCCCACACCAAACACACCACAAACGTTAGCTGGCCACCACCCAACAGTTTATCCACAGAACGGTCTGTTGAGACACCACACACACACACACACACACACACACACACACACACACACACACAGATCTCAGTCTGGCAGATCTGTTACCTTTTACAATCTGCACGCAATCTGCTAACATGCAGTGCAATTGCATACAGAGTGGCAATGAGCTTGACCGAGCATATAAAGGCACTAACATACAATACAATCTAATCTCTCCGAAGATATGAGCCTGTGCTTAAATACACAGAAGTCACTTATTAATTTTAAGATTTAATATCCCGAAAGTGGGCAGTGCATAAAATATGTACAAAGTATAAAAAGTTACAAAAAATACAAGAAGACACACATAGACTATTCACTATAAAATAAAAGGGAATAAAAGACAGAAATAAAACCTTTACCAAGATTTATCCTGTGACTGGAGCGAGTCAGAGAGTCAGCAATCCGTCAGTCAAATCGAACCGGCTCCATACGAATTACAATGTCCCAATTTCAGAGTCCTCAATTTATGGGGATATGGACATAGGCGGGACATTAGTTGGGCCAATTGACCCTGGTGGGTGTTCCTGTACCCGCCCACAGAATGTTCTGGGTGCCGACCTGCCCGAAGTCAATTGGACCAAGACCGGCTTGAATCACCAAGTCGGGGATTGGATTTCCGATACCAGCGCATCAGTCCTATCACGACAGTACCAATCACTGTTTGGCTGTTGCAATCCAGCGCCACATAATGATTTCCTGCATTTTTTTGGCATTCTACCTAAGCCACAAATACAGTTTTTATATGCCGATGTAACCCACAGAGTGCTCCATCAGAAGGAAGTATTTTCATCTCTCTACAACTAATATTTTAGCCTTTATGAGAGATGAAACATTTCCTTTGATCCACTGATATACTTCAAAGCTCTGGTCTCCCGCTGTCATGAAGCCAACCTGTCTCCAGCCGTTTCCTTCCTGGTTTCCCGAGAAGGTGACAAACCTTATTAGCACCCAGGTGCCACTTCCAGCCTGAGGAAGCTGCTCTGTCTCTTTTCAGATGCTAATTGATGACCATCTGTCTATGAATACCTTATTTCTTTAATGACCAGGACTGAAACTACATTTAGGATTACATTGTCATATTTTCTACAGGTCACATCTTATCTACTCAAATCTGTACATTTATGTCACATCTCCCTATCTGCCTGGTTGACACCACTGTGCTGTGTGGGATGAAAAAAAGTACTGCGTACTTTTTTCCATGCAGCACAGTGCAAGGCAATCAACTGCCATGCACTTCGTGGCCAGCAGTTGCACTTTGAGATGTCTGTGTGACATTTCAATAACATTAATTTAAAGAACAAAGCAAGAGAACAGTGTTATGTGCCATGATTGGCGCATCATCATTGTGCTGATCTTGCACCCTCACACCAACTGCTGCACTGTAATGCAGTGATTGGTGTGAAAATACCCTAAAGGTAGCAAAATCATGCCTTCACTGGAATCATGAAGGCACTTTATTTTTACAGTTGAGAAACCATTGGAGCTGAAGATGGAGAGAAGTCAGAAGTCCTAACATTGACTGCTTGTCTATGGTCAAGGCCTTTGGATTTACTGAAGTCAGTTGATTAGTAAGACAGACAGAAAACTAACATTTTTAGAGAGTTAAGCAATAGGCCCTTATTCATTTTCTGTATAATGAAATCCTAGATCTTAGAGTCCTAAAGTCCCAGATTTAGATGCATTTAGACTGTAAAGTGAAACTCAAAGCAAAAACTGTTTTTGGATAAAATTTTGAAGTGTTAGGGCCACAGTCTGTGTCTTCATTTCCAGGAATGGTTGTGAGAGGAATCTCCCCAATGAGGAAATAATAAAAACAAGACAGAGATTGTAACCCTCTCGCCCTGTTGAAAAAATGGTCTTATTGTTCTGTGTCCCCCAATTCTGCCATGTACTGTCCTGGGGAGCACATAGGGGGTCCAGAGAACAAAAACATTTAACAGAGTTTCTTACCATTCCCCATTACATTTTACCACAATATGTACAGTATATACTATGACTAGAGTTCCACTTTAGACAAAACATGCCAACAATAAAGAGGAACTTTTTAAAATCGGTTTCCCTGATGCTGGGTTGTCCTTAATTCAGATACTCACCCACCCAGTGGATCTAGTTATCCTGCTGAGATCCACTTCACTGCTGCCACCGCTCAGGTTCCGTGCTTCCATTTTCTTCTGTGACATCATCAGCAGGTGGCCATCCTTTCTGGGTTCAGGTAGCCGCCTCTTGATGATGCTCCGCTAGGTTTGCCCCTCCTCCTCATTTTATTAATGGAAGCCTATGCCTTCTGGGATATGTGATGTGCAAATCCCAGGAGGCACAGGGAGCACTGCATGTATTTTTCGCCTAGTCGAGAATGGATAATGGGGGACTTGCCAGAACCTGTACACTGGGGGGGAAAAAAAAAAAAGCACAAAACTAGTGAAAATAACCATGGCATTCATTTTCTTGCAGGTTAGCTGCCATAGCACTTTTGGTTTTGGAGGATGAGGAGAGTGCATTTTATTGTCTAGTTGATATTGTTGAGAACATAATGCCACCAGAGTACTATAGTAATAACCTAACAGGATCACAGGTAAGATCATTTTTTTAAAAGCTTATAGCAGAAAGTACAAGAAAGAGGTTGACACAGACCATTTGCTTCTTGATCAAACGCCTGCACATGAGCATGAGTTACATCATCCCATGCCAGCCAATTAAGATGGCCAAAGACTGGCACCTAGGAAGAACCAGTGAGTGACCTAGCAGGCCGTTGAAGCTAGAAGCAAATATTATCCACTGTTAACTGAATACAGGGTGGTGTCCCTTCCCACTGCAAGGGCTAAATGCTCATTTTGCTCAGAGGATGATGAACAAGGTGATACACTTTATTTCACACTCCTGCAGACTGTCTCCAATTCATGCAACTGTAAGTCTATTATTTTACAACTTCAATTAACAGACAAAGTAGTAGTTAAGGGGTTGAGAAACCCCATTTAACACAGACAGGGGTGCTTACAATGCTCAACTTTTATTCAATTAAGTGAAGCCTTTACTGATTGGCTATAATTTGTTAGTCAAGTCAAATTCAATCTGCAAGTGCATCTAACACTACCCTCTCCACAGAATGACAATGCCACTGCCCAAAAGGTGTCTCTGTTGCACCTCCATCAAGAGTGTAGACTCCTAAAGACAGGAAGTGTGCAACAGTGCAGTCAAAGTGCAATATGACTACAGGTGTACCTCGGTTTACGAACGCCTTGGTTAACGTAATTTTCGGTTTACGAATGAAAATTCATTGAAAATAATGCCTCGGTTTACAATTTTTTTTCATAATATGAACGGATTAATTGTTTTTCAATGCATTCACAATTTTTTTTGATCATGTCCCTGTACAGTACTATACTTTTAAAGTGCACTTTATAAAGAGTTTTGAACAGATAAGACTTTTTTTGACCTCCGGAACAGATTAATTGGTTTTCAATGCATTTACGAATTCATTTTTAATCATGTCCCTGTACAGTATTTATGCCTTTAAAGTGCACTTTTATAAAGAGTTTTGAACAGATAAAATACTTTTTTTTTTATGTTTTTCTGACCTGACCTGTTTTTCTGAACCGCGTTTCGGTTTACTAATTTTTCGCAATACGAAAAGTCCTGCAGAACGCATTAAATTCGTAAACCGAGGTATGCCTGTATATTTTTACTGCTTCTAGGTCGCCTCTCAATGCCATTCACAATTGCTAAAATGGGTAGCGAATGGAGAAGCCCAACACACAGGAGCATTAGTGTTCTCTAGCATGACAGCGAGGCAAAAATAATATTGCTTGCAGGGTTTGCCAGGTGTTGATATTTCGCAAACCACCTCTATTCACTTCCAATGAAGCACACAGTAAATGCACGCATGACATTTACTTTGCATTTAAGGCATGGGTACAAAGCATCAGAAGTGATCATTTTGCTATTTTAAAAAATAATTAAAAAAAAAAAAAAAAAACTCTCATAGGGCTTGTATACACTAATAGGGGATGGGTAGCAAACTCTGCAGTTGATCCGTGTTTTTACTACTCCCCCTGGGGTGGCAGCTGCCGCATTGCTTTTTAGAGATGACCACTAGTATGAACGAGCCCACAGGGTGTTTGAGGAGTGTCACTTCACACCACTTGTATACCTCTGCAACCTATTCGAAATACTCTTTAACTCTAAAGGTATTCAGCGTGTGAACTTAGCCTTTAAAGTGTTATTTAACCCAGGACCCTGCATCCATTATATCTGATCTCGCACAGTACACAGAACATGGAAGTGCAATTATTATAGTAAATATAAACTGCTAAATACCTTTTCTCATCAGAAGTTAGAGCAGTCTTGTGAATTCTAGCAGTGTCCAGCTGAACACTGGTTAAAGCTTGTAGGAGGAGTTTTCATTCTCCTCTGAGGATGCAAAACCCCTGACCTCTAACTAGTGCTGATTGGCCCTGTGTTGATCACATGCACTCTCCCCCCCAAAAAAAAAACCTCTAGCAGTACACACCAGCTGAGCATGTGCAAAATGCCTACGGTTCAGTCTGTCTTATCAGGAGATAAGAGGTGGACACGAACAAGGGGAGGAACAGAGCAGTCAGGATCAAATGGCCTTTTTACACAATGCGGAGGATTAACCCCTTTGCTTCCACAGTGAGTATAACAAGCATGCCTTACTGCATATACAGGCCAATATTACTGTTGTGGGTTTAGTAACACTTTAAGGTTGTGTTGTTTGCTGAATATTATTTACATTATTAGTTATGCATTGGATTTAGGTGTCATTCATGCAAAAATCAGAAGAGCATTCACAAACATTTACTTGCAGCTGCAACGTAATTCATATACACTCTACTTCTCATCTTCACAACAGCAGCCCTAGATCATATGAAAAGAAAAACAAGATTGTGTCAATTACACAGAGTATATGTGCCAATGTCTCCTAACAGTCCTGCCCCCTCTATACATCCTGCTGCATACATCTTAATTAAATGTATGAGCTTGCATTGCTTTAACAAGAATTAGAATGTAAATGTATGAATACTGGAAAAGATTAACAGCTATTGAAATTTACCTTTTCACTTTATTTGACAGTGAAGGATGCACTCAATTGCATGGTACAGCTATTTGTAGATTTAAAAAGGCAAATAACAGTGATATTTGCATATTAAGATGTACCCTTTATTTCTGTGTTTTAAACAAATGTATTGTTTAAAGTAAAATATGAGTCTAAATAAGGAAGTTTGCAACAGAATTCTTACAAAACTTTGATTACAACACCAACACTGGTTACTCAATGGCTATTAATAGATGTATTATTAAAAGTTCAATATGAGGCTAAATAAGGAAGTTTGCAACAATTTGAGTTATTTGCTAATCCTCTTTATTGATGAAACAAGACCCTGTAGAGCAGGGGTGTCAAATTGGCGGCCCTCCAGCTGTTACCAAACTACAAGTCCCATGAGGCATTGCAAGGCTGACAGATACAAGCATGACTCCCAAAGGCAGAGGCATGATGGGACTTATAGTTTTGCAACACCTGGAGGGCCTGCCAGTTTGACACCCTTGCTGTAGAGCAGGGGTGTCAAACTGGTGGCCTTCCAGCTGTTGCGACACTACAAGTACCATCATGCCTCTGCCTTTTGGAATCATGCTTGTAACTATCAATCTTGCAATGTCTCATGGGACTTGTAGTTTGGCAACAGTTGGAGGGCTGCCAGTTTGACACCTGTGCTGTAGAGGAAAGCTGACAATAGATAGTAAGTCTATAAGTGACCTCACCACCCAGGTATTGCAACAGTTGTCACTGCCCTCTCCTCTTCCCTGAAGTCGGTGCTGGGTGTTGATCATGTGACCAGTCCAGAGAGCCCTTAGATTAGATATACTAATTAGCCTGTAGAGGAAAGATGTATAAGACTTAGAATGAGGGTGGGAGCAGGTTTAAGATTAGATAAATTTAGACTGGACTTCCACTTTAACAAATACACTACACCACCACAGATATTCCCAGAAACTCCTGACAGATCTCCTAAGCCAAAAAACTACCCACCAGTTTTGTTTTTTTGCTACTTATTTTATATTCCCACAAGATAAAACTGCTATCACTAGTGTCTTCTGTGCTCAAAGACATACTTGATTTTAGGATATGAAAGAATTTTTCTGTGTGCCTTTCAGGGGCAAGAAAGATTTTCAGATGTCAGAAAATTAGTTATGTCTTAGATTGTCGATAGATGGTTAAATGAAATAAAAAGATTCCAGGGAAATGGAAAATCCAGCTGATTGGCTGCAGCCACTGATAAAAAAAAAAAAAAAAAAAAGACTTTTCAACGTAAACCTCCTACAGAACTCAAACAATCAATTGTCTTCTGTTAAACTGGAATGACCACACACTGATTCGTGCTAAACCAGCCAAATTGCAATCAGTGTAGGACCAGCTTAAGCACTGTTACTGTCTATTGTCACTCTAAGCTAAGAATATTTGAAAACACTTCACACAAAAGAGCTTGCTTCGTGCAGCTCCAATATCGAACCAAAATGATCAGACTGGTATATAACTCAAATGAGTATTAACATTGAACTCTGTTATGTTCTTCATCAAAGAGTATTCAATGGTTTATTTTAGAAACTATTGCTACGTTTGACAGCACATTTTCAGAAATACAAGACTGACCTCTCTCTTATCACTTACAAGTTGTTTCTGGTAGTGTCTGTTGACAGCCTGGTTAGTGATGTTCTTTTAAGAGTGTTGACATGGAAATCTGTTATGTCCTCAGGTGGATCAAAGAGTATTCAAGGATTTCTTTTCGGAAAAACTGCCTCGTTTGACTGCACATTTTCAGCAATACAAGATTGACCTCTCTCTTATCACTTACAACTGGTTTCTGGTAGTGTTTGTTGACAGCCTGGTTAGTGATATTCTTCTGAGAGTGTGGGATGCCTTCCTGTATGAAGGAACAAAGGTAGGGATTCTTCAGAGAGCTAACCAAAATCATTTTGTAAAGCGTTTCACAAACTGTTGGTACTATATAAATCCTGTATAATAATAACCAAAATTAATATGAAGTGGTGTAGAAGTGCATGGTCAGCTTGTTATTTGGGTAATAAAGGAAGAATCATTTCTGTGGTGCAATTTCAGAAGGTATAGTGCCAAAGGCTTTTGAAATAAATAGTATTTATAAAGAACATTTGATATTTCATTGAATGTTTTCATAAGAAAGATGAAAACACTTAAAGTGACATGAAATAAAAACTATGAATAAATGCTGTAATGCATGGTGATTATACTCACTCACCTACTATAGGATTTGTCTTCTATATTCTGCAAAAAAACCTGGTTGATCCTGCTGTTCTCTGTCCTTCCCTCCTGTCTGTGTCTCCACTGCAGCTGGAGATTCTGCAGAGCAGCCATTACCACAACTAGTGAGTGTGCTCAGTTTCCAGTGTGTTTCTATACTGAGCATTTCCTCCCTGAACAGCCCATGTGACTATAGGGTCATACATGTGGGTGTATACACAGGAATAAATGACAGCCCATATTCTCCTTCCTCCTCCACACCCACTAAACAGCTCTACAATATGGGGGTGGGATATACCATCTTGACTGACATTACTTCCCTGTAATTCTAAGTACATAAACACAATAGACATAGGTTGGAGGGGCATGGATCAGTCTGTGACTGTCAGAACCTTCCCATAGCTATCATCACAATGTTTGTTAACCACCTCCCATCCGGCCGTTGTATATAAACGGCCGGACGGTGGCAGTGCAGGGTTGGGTGACCGTTTATAAACGGCCTCCCCGCACATTGCTTGTGCGCGCTCCCTGGGAGCGCGCAGCACCGCGATCCAGTGCCCGCTGTGTCCTCCGGACACAGTGGAACACCGATCATTGGAGGGGACCTCTGTATGAGGTCCCGATCATGTGATCACTGATTGGCCAATCAGTGATCACATGCAGAGAAGCAAGATGTCACATCTTGTGACATCATTGCTTACTACGTGTGAAATCTGTGAACGATCACAGAGGTCACATGGTACAAGGCTATTCACAACAGCCTTGTGCCATGTGACAAGCTGTGACCAATCACAGCTCACTCAGTAGTTCTCAATGGCTGCAAGAATGCAGCTAGAGAGAAGGAGAAATGATTGCTTTTTCATCCTTTATGGGTGTAAAAGCAATCCGTGTAAAAAAAAAAAAAAAATCTTAATCACCCCCCACAAGTAGTACAGTGTCGCCATGGTGACACTGTACTGCTAGGGTGACAGTATGTAAAAAAATATAAAAATAAAAAAAATAAAAAAATAAAAAAATGTACACATTTTTTTTAAAAATTATAATTTTTGGTTATAAACTAATTTGGGTTATTTTTTTTTACTAAAAATATAACGGAATACATTTTGGCCAAGATTTATGATGAAATACTATTTATTTGCAAAATTTTTTAAGAAAAACACTTTTTTAAAAAATTTTTGGACTTTTAATTTACATAGCAAAATAAATAAAAATCCCAGTGGTGAATAAATACCACCAAAATAAAGCTTTATCTGTCTCAAAAAAAATGCTAAAAAATGCATATGGGTACAGTGTTGCATGACCGCGCAATTGTAATTCAAAGTGTTATAGCACTGAAAGCTGAAAATTGTCCTGGACAGGAAGGGGGTAAAAGTGTACAGAATGGAAGTGGTTAAAGTAATACTAAACACACTGCTTAATTTACATTATCCCTTCTCTTTCTGTATGTGGACGATGGCACTGTAATAATTTTAATTAAAAAAAAATCTAAATACCTTTTTTCTTAATTGATATACAGCTGTCACATGACCCAGCTCTTTCCCAGCCAGTCTGCAAGGAGGAGCTTCTAGTTCTCTGCTACTGCTCACATGTTCAAAAAAAAAAACAGGCTTCAGGATACAGAGTAAAAATAAACGATTAATATTAATAAACTGATTTAAATTGTCATCCAAATATATATTTGAAATCAAATATCTTTATTATATTTTTTTTACCAATAACATGGTGTGGAAAGATTTCTGCCAGTCACAGACTGTATCACTCCCTCCAGCCTGTGTCTTAGAATAACAGGGAGGTGAAACCTCCATCAATCTACACGTAATATTCAACACCATTGTGTTTAATTAGTGGGTATGGAGGAGGAGCTGGCATCAACCAATGGGTATACGGCTACATGTGTGACTTTGTAGTCACATGGGCTGCTCAGATTTTGATCAGGGAAAGAATGCTGAGGATAGAAATACACGGAAAACTGAGTATGTGCACTAGCTGCCAACACTGCTCTTCAAAATCCCCAACTGCAGTGGGGACATGGACAGAAGGGGGAGACAGGATTTTGTGCAGACTACAGAAAATAATCCCATAGTGACTAAGTATGAACTGCATGTATTAAAGTATTTTCTGATGGTTTTTAATGATGTGGGTTTAGTAACACTTTAACTAAATAGAAGCTTATCGTGCTGATTGTTTCCCTAAAGAAGAGAGAGCTGGGGAAAGTCAGTGTCTGCTGTATATTGGCTATGAGAAAAGGTGCTTAGAATTTTAACGAATACAGGGGCATCGCCCTTATATGCAAGTAGAAGGAACAATGGGGCAGCACAGTGGCTAAATGGTTAGCACTTCCACATGGCAGTACTAGGGTCGCTGGTTCGAATCCCAACCACGGCACCACCTGCCTAGAGTTTGCATGTTCTCCCTGTGTCTGCGTGGATTTTCCTCCGGGTACTCCGGTTTCCTCCCACAGTCCAAAGACATGCTGGTAGGTGAATTGGCTCCTGTCTAAATTGGACCTAGTATGTGTATGTATGAATGTAAGTTAGGGACCTTAGATTGTATGCCCCTTGAGGGTTAGGGACTGATGTGAATGTACAATATATATGTAAAGCGCTACGTAAATTGACGGCGCTATATAAGTACCTAAAATAAATAAATAAATAAATATACAGTACCGTATATTAAACAGTCTGTGTTTAGCAGCACTTTAAAGAACATTGCTACTTTTGCAGTCAAATTTGAAAAAAAAAACTACACTACAGTATCACTACAGTATATGTTTCTTATGTGTTCACATTTGTACAGCATGCCTACTTTTTTTTTTTTTTTTAAATATTCATACTTTTTTTTTTTTTTTTTTTTAGATATTTCTTAGGAGTTCTGATTCAAATGCCTATAGATTGTCAATCAGCTCCTGGCCACATCTAGTCATGCCCACTGCTATCTGGATTGGCAGCACTAAGGCTACGTTCACACTAGCTCTGTCAGCAGGCGTCAGACAGGCGTTTGGGAAGCGTTTAAAACCGACGCCTCTGGTTGAGTCAGGAAGAGTTGAAGCCTCCCATTCAAGTCTATGGTGCCGCTCCGCAAACTCCTGGCCAGCGTTTGCGGTGCGGTTGCAAGGCATTTGCGGAGTGTTAATACCATTTAAACTTCATTATAGGCATTTGTGGTGTGGTTTTAACGCTTGGCAAATGCCTACCAACCGCCGCAAAACCGCACATAGGGCGTTTTTGGAGCGTTTGCGGAGCATTAACAATGCTTCACAAACGCCTGTCTAACGCTTGTCCAGTGCTATAGGGGCTTTTGGTAAGAGCTAGAAATAAAGTCAAGTGTGAACGAGCCTTAACTGTTGCTGCAACCCTCCCACTGTGAGCTGCAGTGTCTGGGAGGGGGAGCATGGGAAACGCAAATGAAGGAGGAATTGGCTGACTCACGGGGAATAAAGGAAGTTTTTGTTTACTATATGAGGCTTGTGCATTACATAATACATTGATTGGGACTTGTTTATACTGTCATACAGGATCCTTTAGTTGTATTTTAAATAACATTATTTGGTAAAGGGTTGTATCAAAATGTATCAAAATGTTAAGCATCACACATGTTGCATCTTACGATTTGACAGTTGTCAGCTGTTATTTTGTACTTCTCTCTAACACTTTGACAGGTAATCTTTCGTTATGCACTTGCAATATTTAAATATAATGAGGAAGAGATCCTAAAGCTGAATGATGAAATGGAAATCTACCAATACCTTTCATTTTTCACAAAGACCATCTGTGATGGCAGGTAATTCAGAATCTTTACCAATCATTTTGTTATTTAATATAGCAAAAATGTATTGCACAGAGTTTTAAGGAGTACATAGGGTATGAAAGTACTGCACTGACAAGGTATTGATCTGGACTCGTCAGAGGGGTATGAAACAAATATTGTACTAGTTTAACACTTAGTAATAAATATGTTCTTAAAGGCAAATGCATTACACACACCCATTTAAGTTGCCCTAAAAACCAGTTATTATGCAATTTCTTTATGTTTTCTTTAAGATTTGAAGAATTGAATAATAAGCTTGTGGGGAGGTGCTCAAATAGGATTATCAATGTAACTTGCTTGATGACTAATGCTGGTCTTTTTTTAGATTTATGAGTATATAGCCGAGAAAGTATACATGATATTTTTAAGGCAAACACATGTTTTAGGAGGTTTGCCCAACATATACAGTGTCAGTATTAAAGATGAACTCCAAGACAAAAATGATTTACCCTTCCAGTGGACCCATCCCCATTGCAAGCGTTAACTGCTTATTTTACCTAGGGGATGATAAATAAGGTGATATACCTTATTCTTCACTGTCCAAGCTTAGCCCCCTATTCACGTGATTGGTCCCCTGAGGCCAAGGGTTGAAGCATTCTGATGTCATCCCATACAATGCAGTACCAACAATCCTGCATTGTACGAATTGTATGGCTTTATTGCATTGTACCAGCATTCTTACATTGTAAGGATGCTGAGGGTCTGCCTGCATTTCAGGTCACCTTACAGTGGAAGAAATCTCCAGATGCCAAGGAAGCAAGAAATAAAGTAGGTATGTCTCCCTGTTCATCATCCCCTAGGCAAAACGAGCAGTTAATCCTTGCAGTAGGAAGGGAAACTCACTACAAGTGTAAAATTATTTTTTACCCATAGTTCTGCTTTAATAAAAAATTGAACCCTGCTTTATTTTGAATCACTTTCTGTCGCAGATGGCTTCAGTATATCCACATGCACACTGGGAGGTTAGCCTTGGTGCATTAGGCTCTGAAATTTACGTATCTGGGTTCTGGGCATTTGACCCTGTGCCCATAATGCCTTAAACATAAGTACTGCATTAGCCTCTCACATTTAGGGGGCTGAATTCTGGGCATTTGACCTTAGGTGCATAGTGCCCTAAATATAAGTACTGATTGGTTCACAATCCAGCCACAGCAGTTGTCAACCTCACATAGACTTTTACTAGCTGCTGGACTGGATGGGGTGCCTAGGCCTTCCACCCATACCTACATTCTAGAGCCTCATACACCAGGGATAAATGACCAGTGTGCATGAGGCCTTCAGCTCTGAGGAAGGGGACATGTGCCGTGAAACCTGTCAGCTTACCAACTTGGACATATATGGTCAGATGGCATTGTCCCATGGCTGGAGTTATTTGATATGATTGCTCCGTTTTATGTTTGAGAGTGTGTTTTTGATTTTGATAATAAAAAGTGGTGGTGGTAATGCACTAGGTGTTTGTGTCCCCCTGTGTGTTTTTACAGCTACTTTCAAGATTTCCCTGCCTAAGAAGTGCTGCGTCATGCGAAGCATTACCAAGTGTGACACCTTCAAATATGCTAATGTTTGAGCGCTGGAGTGTTTTGGGTACCTGTGACAATGCATGAGGCCCTAGTGGAATAGCAAGTGAATGTACCCAATAGAGTCACTGGCGCCAATAAAACTTGACAGATGTTCTGACCCAGTGGTGTCTTTACGTTTTTTGCTGCCCTAGGCAACACAAAAATCAGATGCCCCCCCCCCCCCCCAGCGGAGATAGCCTGACACCGACCAACACCCCCTCCCGGTAACGGAGAGAAAGACACTCCCCTTCATAGCTCCGGACGTCCCCGGGAATGAGAGCCGGGCTTTGCGAACACCATCAAGCAACTTGCAGCCTCTTTTGGATCCCACCTGGTCCCCATGCCGCATATGTCCCTTCTTCCTGGGGTGTGCTGCCCCCCTGAAAAATGCCACCCTAGACAAATGCCTTGTTTGCCTTGTGGTAAATACACCCCTGTTCTGACCCTTTTCTTTGGTTGCTTTGGCAGAAAAGGAGAGCAGAGAGTGGTGTGATGATCCAGTGACCAGTCCTCAGTACTGGTATCTGTCACTACTCCAGCAGTTCTTGTCACTGTGAGAAAAAATAGAGATGTGTGAGGATCAGTGTGCTGTTTTCTGGGTGATCAGAGGTCTCACTGGGGACAGGAAAAGCCACTGAACCACCAGTAACAGCCGAGGCTGACCTGCGGGGCACATGCCTTCCAAATCCAGTCTGTAATTGATAAGCCAGTGGCAAGTTTCCTTCTTTTTTTTTTTTTAATCCATTCTTGGATTGAATTTCAAGATTATTCCTACCAGTAATATGTCTTGCATTATTCTTCTGTGACAATCCACTTTATTCTAACCTGCAGAAAAAAAAATTGAGCTATTGCCTGATAAGTAATAGAACTCTTATTTCACAGAAAAGTTGGAAGGGTGGCAGGGACGTTAAAACGATCATGCTGGACATGAACTTACTAGCAAGATCTGCATGTAATGGACAAGGAATAATGTGCAGGGAAGAATTAGGCAGGGAAGGGCATGTTTCAGAGACAAGGAGGTAGACTGTGCTTCCGTGAACAATTTGAGCCAGGGACTGCATAGATTATCCCGTAAGAAATATATTGTCAGCCCATCGTAATCCTCTTGAAGTAATACCGACTGTATTAGCATTAGTTAGGCTTGTCACGTAAAAAAAACCCAAAACAATATTTCAGAGGCTATGCAGGGTCCCTTTATCAGGTAATATTGAGGCAAATTTGCCTTATGCAGGAACCCAATGCAAGTTAGGAAACATTGCTTTTTATGTGGCATGCCTGACTAATGTTAAGACATACACAGCATGGTTCAGCCGCACCCCCCTGCTCCCTCCTTACAGGATTTGACTGACAGCTGCAGAAGTCTATGGCTCCCACTGCTCTCACTGTCTTCTGTGAGACCAGGAAGTGAAAGAAAACCTGAAGCTGGGACAGCATTGGATCGCAGACAGGACTCGGGTAAGTGCTTAGGGAAAGGGGGGTAGGGGGAACAGTTTGGAGTTTTTTTTACATTAATGCAGATAATGCATTAATGTAACAAAATCTGTTAGACTTTAAAACCACTTAACATTGTTTTATCATTTAGAACCTTTTTGCTATTCACTATATAGCCAAAAGTATTGGGACACCCCTCCAAATCATTGGATTCAGGTGTTCCAATTGCCTCCATGGCCACAGGTGTATAAAATCAAGCACCTAGGCATGCAGACTGCTTCTACAAACATTTATGAAAGAATGCGTTGCTCTCAGGAACTCAAGCGTGGTACAGTGATAAGTCCATTCGTGAAATTTCCCTGCTGCTAAATATTCCATGGTCAACTGTTTCAGTTTGTATTATAACAAAGTGGAAGCAACTGGGAACAACAGCAACTCAGCCTTGAAGTGGTAGGCCATGTAAACTGACAGAACGGGGTCAGCGCATACTGAAGCGCATAGTGCCAGAAGTCTCCAACTGTCTGCTAAAGTCAATAGCTAAAGACCTCCAAACTTAGTGTGGCTTTCAGATTAGCACAACAGTGCATAAAGACCTTCATGGAATGGGTTTCCATGGCCAAGCAGCTGCATCCAGGGCTTACATCACCAAGTGCAATGCAAAGTACCAGATGCAGTGGTTTAAAGTATGCGCCACTGGACTCTAGAGCAGTGGAGATGTGTTCTCTGGAGTGATAAATCATGCTTCTCTGTCTGACAATCTGATGGATGTGTCTGGGTTTTTGCACCATTTTTGAAGGTAAATGCACCATTTTTGTGGACGGTGGGCTTGGAGCCTGAGTTATGGCGGCGGGGAGAGCATATCAATGTAGGATGCTCTGTGGGACGAGAAGCTCCGTGTCCTGACCTGCCCTAGGTCCCCTGATGAGTGCATTTGGGGTGGAGGAACTTGACTGGTCTGCACAGAGTCCTGGCCTCAACCCATTCGAATACCTTTGGGAATAATTCAAGGAGACTGGAGCCAGGCTTTCTCCCGTCAGGACGGACCTCACAAATGTGGAATGGTGTTGGGACAACGTGAGAAGAGTGAAGCTGTTATAGTGCAAATAGCGGTGAAGGGCTAAGACTGGGAAACCATTTGGATGTGTGGTAAAGTCGTGCTTTTGCCAATGCGAGCATTAATAATAGCTTTTGTGCATTTTTATTGAAATTGTAAATGTATGAAACATTTGTGCAAGTATTATTGGATGTACAAATCAACAACATCATATTACCATACCTATTGTACAGGTCCTGTGCTTTCAGAAAATAAATTGTTTGGAAAATCGTTTACAAATCTTTAAAGAATATGTAAACCCAATTCTTCATATTCTTGATATGTGCCTGCTGTACTATGCACTTGTATAAACAATTATCCTGTTCTCTCTGTGAAATTCCTGGTGTTCCTTCCAGTCCCTCTGCTTTCCTATTAAAAACTGACCACATTAGCATGGTCAGTCCTCTGTCTGTGCTGGGAACTCAGTCTGCTCTCTTCCAATGATGAGATTGTGATCACTTATAAAAAAAAATATAAATACAATATCCCCCTTTTTTTTTTTATATCTATAGACAAGTGTTTTGCTTTTCATTTCTATTTTAAACTGAATGGGTTGTTTTACAAGGTGGTGGTGGGGGGGGGGGTCACTGTAAAGATGGAAAGTTCAAGTAACATTTGTTTTATTTGTACTTTGGGCAGGTTTACTAGTAAAGTATGTTTTACTGGAAAACTATGTCTTTCTTAATATCACTGAAAAATAGGGATGCTACATTACAGTCAGGTCCATAAATGTTGGGACATAGACACAATTCTAAAATTGTTGGCTCTATACACCACCACAATGGATTTGAAATGAAACAAACAGGATGTGCTTTTACTGCAGACTGTCAGCTTTAATTTGAGGGTATTTACATCCAAATCAGGTGAACGGTGTAGGAATTACAACAGTTTGCATATGTGCCTCCCACTTGTTAAGGGACCAAAAGTAATAGGACAGAAAAATAAGTATTAAAAAGTGAAAGTTTGATTTATGATTGATTGCAAATCCTTTGCAGTCAATTACAGCCTGAAGTCTGGAACGCATAGACATCACTAGACGCTGGGTTTTATCCCTGGTGATGCTCTGCCAGGCCTCTACTGCAACTGTCTTCAGTTCCTGCTTGTTCTTGGGGCATTTTCCCTTCAGTTTTGTCTTCAGCAAGTGAAATGCATGCTCAATCGGATTCAGGTCAGGTGATTGACTTGGCCATTGCATAACATTCCACTTCTTTCCCTTAAAAAACTCTTTGTTTGCTTTTGCAGTATGCTTTGGGTCATTGTCCATCTGCACTGTGAAGCGGCGTCCAATGAGTTCTGAAGCATTTGGCTGAATATGAGCAGAAAATATTGCCCGAAACACTTCAGAATTCATCCTGCTACTTTTGTCAGCAGTCACATCATCAATAAATACAAGAGAACCAGTTCCATTGGCAGCCATACATGCCCACACCATAACACTACCACCACCATGCTTCACTGATGAGGTGGTATGCTTAGGATCATGAGCAGTTCCTTTCCTTCTCCATACTCTTCTCTTCCCATCACTCTGGTACAAGTTGATCTTGGTCTCATCTGTCCATAGGATGTTGTTCCAGAACTGTGAAGGCTTTTTTAGATGTCGTTTGGCAAACTCTAATCTGGCCTTCCTGTTTTTGAGGCTAACCAATGGTTTACATCTTGTGGTGAACCCTCTGTATTCAGTCTGGTGAAGTCTTCTCTTGATTGTTGACTTTGACACACATATACCTACCTCCTGGAGAGTGTTCTTGATCTGGCCAACTGTAGTGAAGGGTGTTTTCTTCACCAGGGAAAGAATTCTTCAGTCATCCACCACAGTTGTTTTCCGTGGTCTTCCGGGTCTTTTGGTGTTGCTGAGCTCACTGGTGCGTTCCTTCTTTTTGAGAATGTTCCAAACAGTTTTTTTGGCCATGCCTAATGTTTTTGCTATCTCTCTGATGGGTTTGTTTTTTGTTTTTTCAGCCTAATGATGGCTTGCTTCACTGATAGTGACAGCTCTTTGGATCTAATCTTGAGAGTTGACAGCAACAGATTCCAAATGCAAAAAGCACACTTGAAATGAACTCTGGACCTTTTATCTGCTCATTGTAATTGGGATAATGAGGGAATAACACACACCTGGCCATAGAACAGCTGAGAAGCCAATTGTCCCATTACTTTTGGTCCCTTAACAAGTGGGACACATATATGCAAACTGTTGTAATTCCTACACCCGTTCTCCTGATTTGGACGAAAATACCCTCAAATTAAAGCTCACAGTCTGCAGTTAAAGCACATCTTGTTCATTTCATTTCAAATCCATTGTGGTGGTGTATAGAGCCAAAAATGTTAGGATTGTGTCGATGTCCCAATATTTATGGACCTGACTGTATATAAGATACTGCACATGTGCTATGTAATATAGAGGAAAATGTAAACCTCATACATGCAGCAATGGAAATAGTCATTTTAAATTATGTTTTTTGGCCTTTCAATACATTTTATTACCTATGACTATCATTGTAGGGTCTCTGTTTTGCAGTGACATTTAGAGATACTGAAAATTATTGAAAGACAAAAAATGTACTTTACAATAAAATACTTTACAAGAAAATCTGCCCAAAAGAAAAAAAAAAATAAACTACAATACAACCCTCCCATGGGCATTCCCATTAGAACCCATTCCATTTCCTGAGACTTGAAAATTATTGCAAGGGTTCCTTTTGAGTAAAAAGGTTAAAAAAGGCTGCACTAAACTTAATGAGATGACAGAGATGGCTATGCTGATTTAACACCATGAAACAGAAATGAATTATATGCACAAAAACGTAAAGAAATGGTCCTTTAAATGCCCATATATATTGTATTACTTTTCACCCTTTCTCTTTCCAGAAAACTAATGAACATTGCCTTCAATGAGATGAACCCTTTCCCAATGAAGCATATAAGAAATCGCCGAGCTGTGCATTTGGAGAAATTTAAGGCAGACCTGGCTGAACTCGAAAAGATTAAGCAGGAATATTTTAGGCAAAAGGAAGAGCTTGGAAGTGGCGATAATGACTGGGAATTAGTGAGGATGAAGATGATACTTGAACATTAATAAGGAACAACTTCTAGTTGCTTTAAACGAGTATTAAATATCGGTTTGATGCATATCCCATTAAATTTGATGAAAATATATGGCTCCAAAGGTTTTCAAGCCACTATGTACAAATTACTGTAAGCAAAACTACAATACTTGGTGTTTTGCAATGCCGGATACTGTATGCCATTCAAAGATATTTCAATATTTACTTTAAGACTGTAAGTATTGTATATATATACATTTAAAAAAAAATCCCATTGTATGTTCCTTTGTAAATTATGCTCTTGTTACATTCTGTCCATGAAATTTGGAATAATGTTTGAGCTTTATCATTTGTTTGTTATAAATTTCAAAAGGTTGGGTATCCAGTGAGCCATGATAGACTGCACTCCTCAGAGCTGATATTTTTTAGTAGATTTCTGTTGATACAAATAAATAGGATATTCAATTAATTAGATTTAGTGTTAATTTAATGATTTTTGTGTCTAATAGATTAAAGCTAGGCACACACTAGATTTTTTTTTTCTCATTCAACCCAGCAGGAGAGATCGCCATACTAACACAAGCAATGTTAGTGCAGCGATACTGTGCCTTTGTATTCTGACAGGGCAACTGCTCCCCGCCAAAACGCACTGATCAGCACTTGCAGCCATTGGCTGCCAATGCTGGTTTTCCAGCATGGCTATACAGACAGCTGTACACATGGGCTGGAAATTGGCCAGTTCCTGCCAAACTGGACAATTTTGGCCAATTTTTGGCCCATGTGTACAAGGCTTTGGAGCTTTAGATTTATAGCTCGACTTTATGATGATAGAGTAATATCCAATTTACTGTCATGACCAAGTGCTATTGCCATGCCAGGAATATTTTTTTAGAAATAGGATATGTCCATCAAAATTGCAAATAAATGCCAACTTCATACAAATATACATATATTTATTACATACTATATAATTCATCCTTCTAAATACAGCACTTGTAAGCCTATGGTTGAGAGAAGTTTGACTGTTTTTTTGTACCCTAGATTGCCAATATCTGTATAGTTACATAGTTGCATACTTAGACTTGAAAAAAGGCCACAAGTTGATTGAGTTCATCCAACAGAAAAAGTAATGAACAAATAAATCAAATGTGTTGGATTTTGCTCCAATGGGGACAAGAAATGTATTTGTAATCCCCTAAACAATCAGATATTCCCTGAATCTCTTTGGAATATATTTTCTACTTTATTTTCAAGCAAGGACCTTTGCACAGAAGAAAAACATTACTGATACATCTTGCCTCCATCTTGATACATCCACGCGGTGGCGTGGATGTCATTGCTGTCTGATAGCTGATGCCGGTCCCTGGAAGAGCCGTGAGGCATATTGACCTTATCACTGTGGCCTATAATTTCACCAAGTGTTTCATTTTGCGGATTCCTGTAGTGTCATCTATTAAAGCTCTTGGAATCTGGCTGATAATTATACCAACCTTAAGGGGACCTCCGGATCTCTGATACATCTTCCCAGGCTGATTTGATCCAAAATTGGAATTCACCCTCTCCATTTACTAGGATTCCTGGAGACATTTATTTACGCGCATGATGCGCAATCTTTCCATTGCTTCCTGGTCTTCATCAGTTTATTTTTGGGACTATATATTTATATCAGTTAACAACTACGGACTATTTGCCTTTTGTACTTATCTTTTAGCGCTGCACTCTGTTATTACTATTCCGTTTTTTTGGGTATACTGTGATTACCTTTAGTGCTAAAGAGCGCTCACTTTATTACATTCTTATCCGATACATCTTGCCTGCCCAGCATTTGGCTATGATGGGAGGATTGCTGCAAGGCATGGGCATACCAGTGGTCACTTTAAAGTTGTTAGCAGGCTTCAGCAATGTACCTTTTGCTAAATATGTTTAATGATCAAATAAAAAATACATTTTGTCAATTTTCTTTTTCTTCTTATTTGCACAAATAAAAGTCGATAAAATATGACTTAGAAATAAAAGACTATCTGTCCCAAAGAAACTATGTCAAGTTTGGCTATGTTAACTACAAAATAAGTTAGCAAGTGGCAATCTCTCAGAGCTTGAAACCTGAAAATGTTCTGGTAGGCTTTATATACAGATTTAAGATATTAAGATTCAAGATAAGTAGGCAACTAACTCACTGTTTAACACAAACCTTCTGAGACATTACTTAAATGAACTTGTGCTACCACCTGTCATACTGCCTTGCTCCTAGGTGATTCACTCCGCATTTGAATCATGGAGACTAGGGGTAATCTCAGGGGAGAGTACTTTTTTTTTTTTTTTTGTTTTTTTTTGTTTTTTTACACAGCACTAACTAACACAAACATAACTAATCCAACATATCATTGCAATGTTTTAAAAGAGGCATATGGCTCCTGAATGCACTATAAAGAGTAAAGATGAATAAAGTTTTCACATGGCCATTTAGTGGCGATAATACAAAACATTGTAAAGTAATTGTACACAGTCAATATGCTTATACATCCTTTTACATATACCAAACAATATATTGAACCATCTGTTCAGAAGAGAAAAAAATATCTCTCCCTTGGTTCAAAAAAAAAACAAAAAAACACTCCATAAAATCTCCTCCATATCATAGAGAACCATTCAAATAACTGTGAAAAATCCTTTTTTAGAATAATATATCAGATATAAAAAAGAATTATAACAAAAAAGAAGAAAAAAGGAATTAAAGGGCCCAAAGGTAAGTGTGAACATAATAAGACGATGAGGGGATCACAATATGTGTAACAGACCTTTGCACAACAAGGACAGGAAAAAAGGAATACAATACAAAATAATTTAGGGGTTTATGAGAGAAGGAAGGAAAAATAATACATATACTGTATATATATTTTTATTTATTACAGGTACTTCTACAGCGCCGTCAATTTACGCAGAGCTTTACATATAGGTAAAATATATTTCTAAAGGTGCTATTGACATGAAATTTTCACCAGGTCAGTAACAACCCATGCAATCCATACATACAAAGAAGCCAAAACAAATAAGTTCAGAAATTCCATTGTGTATAATAAAATGGAATCATACAGCGAAAAAAAGTATTGAACACATGAAGAAAGGGAGGTGCAAAAAGGCTTGGAAAGCCAAGACACCAGCTGAAATCTATTAGTAATTAGAAAGCAATCCTGCCCCTTGTCAGTGCAAATTAATACCATCTGGTTCAGTCTCAACCGATGGCCTATAAAAAGGTGTCTCATTACCAACGTGTCACACAAAAAGCAAAGAGCTCTCCCAAGACCTTTGCAACCTTATTGTTGGAAAACTGATGGCATTGTTACAGAAGGATTTCTAAACTTCTGAATGTTCCAGTGAGCACTGTTGGGGCCATAATCTGGAAGTGGAAAGAATATCATTTCACCATAAACCAGTCACGACCAGGTGCTCCTCACAAGACTTCAGACAGAGGAGTGAAAAGAATTATCAGAAGAGTTGTCCAATAGCCAAGGACCACTTGTGGAGAGCATAATAAAGACCTGGAATTAGCAGGTACAATAGTTTCAAAGTAAACAATAAGTCATGCATTCAACCGCCATGGCCTGTAAGCACGCTCACCACACAAGACTCGATTGCTGAAGAAAAAGCATGTTGAAGCTCGTTTAAAGTTTGCTGCACAACATTTAGGCAAGCCTGTAAAATACAGAGAGAATATAGTCTGGTCAGATGAGACCAAAATTTAACTTTTTGGATGCCATAATACACACCATGTTTGGAGGTCAGATGGCACTGCACACCACCCCAAAATCACCATAGCAACAGTGAAGTTTGGAGGTGGGAACATCATGGTGTGGGGCTGTTTTTCAGCATACAATACTGGCAAACTTCATATCATTGAAGGAAGGATTAATGGAAAAATGTACCAAGACATTCTTGATAAAATCTGCTGCCATCTACCAGGATGATGAAGATGAAACGAAGGTGGACATTTCAGCAAGACAATGATCCCAAATACAAAGCCAAGGAAACTCAACTGGTTTCAAAGAAAGAAAATAAAGCTGCTGGAATGGCCCAGCCAATCACCTGACTTGAACCCAATAGAAAATCTATGGAAAGAACTAACGTTCAGAGTTCATAGAAGAGGCGGACGGAACCTTCAAGATTCGAAGACTGTTTGTGTGGAAGAATGAGCCCAAAATCACACCTGAGCAATGCATGCGACTGGTTTCTCCATACAGGAGGCATCTTGAAGCTATTACCAACAAAGGATTTTGTATAAAGTATTAAATAAATTTCAGTTAGCGTGTTCAATACTTTTTCCCTGTGTCATTCCATTTTATGACACATAACTTAATTTCTGAATTTATTTATTTTGGTTTCTTTGTATGTATGGATTGCATGGGTTACTGCTGACATGTGGTGAAAATTTCATGTCAGTAGCACCTTTAGAAATATATTTACCTAGAAAAGTTAGTAATGACATGTTCAGTACTTATTTTACCCGCTGTATATATATTGTACATTCACATCAGTCTCCAACCCTCAAGGAGCGTACAATCTAAGGTTCCCTAACTCACAATTGTACATATACTAGGGCCAATTTAGTCAACCTACCAGCATGTCTTTAGGAGGAAACTGGATTACCCTGAGGAAAAAACCACACAAACACAGGAAGAACATGCAAACTCCAGGCAGGTGGTGCCGTGGTTGGGATTTCAAACCAATGACCATAGTGCTTCCAGGAGGAAGTGCTAACCATTTAGCCACTGTGTTATATATACTTTTTATATAATCTAACAATAATACTGATCATGATTTATTCATAATAATGTGGCATGTCCCATTCAAAGTTAATTTCATACAATTTAATACAAGTATCCAACTTAAAGATTCAGAATACTTAATTCCTATTTAACATATAAAAATGATCACAACCCCTCATTGGACAGTCAATCCTTTCTGTTATCTGGACTCTAAATTATTCCAAATGGTGTGTTGCAAAATGTCTCGCCACATTTGTGTTATCCTGTCC